TTGCTACCCCGACTCATCCTCGCGACCTTAGCCTCGTGCGCAACATAATCGGCCCAATGTCTGCTTCCGGAGTCAACGTACGTGTGCACCTGGCCTGTTTCGGGCTTCCGATCAGCTTCATCTCGCGCCTCCACCAATTCCGCCAACAACGATGATACCCTTACTCTGCACGATGTATACGAGCTCTCGATTGCTAACGCACTTGCTTACAGGTGCTCCGTTACTCGGCCCTTGCCTTTGGAGTCTTCTATGGTTTCACCCACCAGCGATCCATAACTGCCTCGCAAAAGGCTGCGGCAGCCCAGAAAGATTATGAGCACAAGCAACACTTAATAGAGCAGGCCCGTGCCGAGTACTCCAAGTCTAAGAATCCTCAGCCCGCCTCGTCCGACAAGTCTCCTCGTACGTATCACCTCCTCTCCCAGCAAACCGGTGGACTTTGGGATTTCGTCCGTGAAGAGACTATACTGACATCTGCCACAGTGGACCAGGATATGAACTCAGCTAGTTTTGACCTCGAGGCGTACATGAATGCCTTTGCCTCGGCCAAGGCATAATGGAATTCATCGGAAAACATAAGCGACGGGTATAATTGAAGGAATCCAAAAGGATGCGGAATAGACTTGAGGAGCAGCGCATGTGTCAAGTGATTCAGAGCAATCAGCATGAGCCCTTTACCAACACGGCCTGAAACCCCCATAGATTTCCTTGCATTGCTGTATGCCTGTGTACAATACAAATCGATTATTTAGACCTTGAGGAAGCCCAAACTTCTTGATGTGCATCTTGTGGGAAAGGGCGTCTGATCGCAGCAGTAGGTATTGTGGTGGGTTTGCGTGATATCAAATTCACTCTGCAATGCTGGTGGCTGGGCTGGAGACTGCCTAACGAGACAAAGCAGAGCTGTTCAAGATTCACTTGAATGTTGTTTTCTCTTTGAAGTCTTGATAAGGGCTGTCTCAAGCTTCATGCTAGACAATAAAACAAAAATAGTGTTTACTCCATTTGATTAGCTGTAAAGCTATGTAAGTACTACTTGCATTTTCAATGTCTCCCTCGGAGCTCTTGTTCCCACTTCTGCATACAAGATACTTATAACTATCTGCTGAAATACTACCTATGATCGCAATAGTCCCCAGTTGAGCAAGATATGTTTGAAATTCCTCCTTCCTTCCTCCACTCCTCAAGCACAACAAGTGCCCAGATCTAAATAGCCGCATTCATACACAAGACAAGCTTTAATTGTACCTTGGCCATGCCTCTTGAAATAAGACCTGTCATGTTCTATGCGAGATGAATGTATATGTCGCTAGTGCCTATGCTCTTGTGACACTGGCTTAAACCAATGCCATCACGCATCTCATTGAATGCCCATGACCAGTTGGGAAGATTAACACATTATGTATATACACCAGTCAAAAACGATCAAGGAGTCTCATGATGTGGGATAACTGTTATAAACATATTGTGCACATCTTGCTCGCACTGCAGAAGTACCTTGATTCATTGGAATGTAAGCATGAACCTAGCAGGTACAATTGTCTGCCAGATATGTATGCCTCTTTGCGGCGTGCAACAGTAACGGCAGGGCGTAAACGGGTAGGATGCATGGGCCAAGCTACTTACTTCTAGCACATGGGGAATCTGGGACTTGGAAGGGCAAACGGTAGGTACATACATATGTAAGTACAATCAGGTAGGGGATACCTCGCATTGGACCCCTGTGCCCCCTAGGAAGGTAGGTACCCCAGTACTTGATGCAGCTCTCTGGGCTGTTTGGTGCCTCTAAGCTTGTTTGAGACAGACTGACGCGCGGAAAGAAGCTACAAGCTGTCCTCTCAGTACCGCAATATCCCAATGCAGATACTGCCACCAATTATCACCACTTCCACATCGTGATATTCTCCTTCTTGCCTATTCTTTCCTTCCCCCACAATCCTCGCTCCCATGACAGCCATATAGATGTGACTGTTCCCTACTGAAAGCGTCACTTTGTTGTCTAAGGGAGCTCTCATTCCACCGCCATGGCTGTCGCCGCCGACGCCACTTCAACTCCTATGGAGGTCTTGGTTGCTGTCGGCAAGAACCAGAGCACCAAGACTCTCTTGAGGGTCATTATCCTCTGCTTCATTGCCGGCGCCGCCGTTGCCAGTCGCTTGTTCTCCGTCATTCGTATGCCACCGCCAATTGCCCTTCCCTTCTCTTACCCAGCTCTAATTGCTAACTGAGCTTGTGCTGTCCAGGCTTCGAGAGTATCATCCACGAATGTTCGTCTGACCGAAACCTGCCCCAAGACATGCCCACTCTGACCTCTTGCAGTTGATCCCTGGTTCAACTTCCGAGCCACCAAATATCTTGTCGCCAATGGCTTCTACGACTTCTGGGATTGGTTTGACGATCGAACATGGCATCCACTCGGCCGAGTGACTGGAGGTACCCTCTATCCTGGCCTCATGGTCACCAGCGGTGTCATCTACCATCTATTGCGATTCCTCACCGTCCCCGTCGATATCCGGAACATTTGCGTGCTTCTTGCACCCGCTTTCTCTGGTTTGACCGCCTTTGCTGCCTACCTCCTCACCAATGAGATGACCACTTCTTCCTCGGCTGGCCTGCTTGCCGCTGCTTTCATGGGCATTACGCCCGGCTACATTTCGAGATCCGTTGCCGGATCCTATGATAACGAGGCTATTGCCATCTTCCTCCTTGTCTTCACCTTCTACCTTTGGATCAAGGCTCTGAAGCTCGGCTCCGTTCTGTGGGGAGCTCTTTGCGCTCTCTTCTACGGCTACATGGTTGCTTCGTGGGGTGGCTATGCCTTTATCACCTGCTTAGTTCCTCTGCATGCATTTGTACTCATCTGTATGGGCAGATTTAGCATGCGCCTCTACGTCGCCTACACCACATGGTATGCTCTCGGAACGTTGGCCAGTATGCAGATCCCCTTTGTCGGTTTCTTGCCTGTCCGCACCAGTGAGCATATGCCGGCTTTAGGTAAGTGCCGAGAGGAACCATGATGAATGTCTAAAATACACTGGATGAGCGGCTGACAAGTTCTAGGAATCTTCGGCTTTCTCCAGATCGTCGCCTTCGTCGAATACGTGCGTTCTGTTCTTCCCAGCCGTCAGTTCCAGACTTTCCTGTACGTTGGCTTGGGCGGGATCTTTGGCGTTTCACTCCTCGGCTTGGTTGGTCTGACTGCCGGTGGCTATATCGCCCCTTGGTCTGGACGTTTCTACTCACTTTGGGACACCGGTTATGCCAAGATCCACATTCCTATCATTGCCTCCGTCTCTGAACATCAGCCGACTGCTTGGCCCGCCTTCTTTTTCGATTTAAATATGCTGATCTGGCTCTTCCCGGCCGGTGTCTACATGTGCTTCCAGAAGCTGGAGGATGAGCATGTCTTCGTGATCGTATATGCTGTATTTGGAAGCTACTTCGCCGGAGTCATGGTTCGACTGATGTTGACATTAACCCCCATCGTTTGTGTGGCCGCTGCCATTGCTGCCTCCCAACTTTTGGATACCTACTTGGTCTATAGATCACCCGAGATTCCCGAGAACAAGGACGAAGACGCCTCGGATGGGACTGTGAAGAAGTCAAAGGGTGGCCTGCGCTCATCGGAGAAGCCAGTCGTGGGCATCTATACCTTGTTGTCCAAGGGTGCTATTGCTGGGGCCATGTCAATCTTCCTACTGATCTTTGTTCAACACTGCACTTGGGTCACGTCCAATGCTTACTCTTCTCCGTCTGTCGTTCTAGCCAGCCGTATGCCGGATGGCAGTCAGCATATTATTGATGATTATCGGGAGGCATACCAGTGGCTTCGACAAAACACAAAGGAAGATGCCAAGATCATGTCATGGTGGGATTACGGCTATCAGATTGGTGGTATGGCCGATCGGCCCACTCTAGTTGACAACAATACCTGGAACAACACTCACATTGCCACGGTTGGCAAAGCGATGAGCTCTCGAGAGGAGGTCAGCTATCCCATCATGCGCCAGCACGAGGTTGACTACGTGCTCGTTGTCTTTGGTGGTCTTTTGGGCTACTCGGGTGATGATATCAACAAGTTCCTGTGGATGGTCAGAATTGCTGAGGGTATCTGGCCCGACGAGGTCAAGGAGCGCGACTACTTCACCCCACGTGGCGAATACCGTGTTGATGATCAGGCCTCAGAGACGATGAAGAACAGCTTGATGTAAGCCAGAAACTCGGGAACAGCTGCTATGTCGGATCTGCTAACCAAGGAACAGGTATAAGATGTCTTACTATAACTACGGCTCCCTCTTTCCCCCGGGACAAGCCCAGGACCGTGTTCGAGGCGCTCGCTTGCCTGACCAGGGACCCGTCTTGAACACGTTAGAGGAAGCTTATACCAGCGAGAATTGGATCATTCGTATCTATAAGGTCAAGGATCTTGATAACGTGGGCCGTGATCACGCTTCGGCCGCTTCATTCGAAAGAGGTCACAAGAAGAAGAAGGGCAGTAAGAAGCGAGGGCCCCGCATGCTGAGAGTAGAATAGTGCCAATGCATAAGGACAAGGGATTTTTCGAAGGATTTAACCCCGTCAATATGATCCCCAGGTAAAATTGCTGGGCATTACAGGCCAGGGGACACCACAAAAAAGTTATGTATGTGTAACTAAAAGCAATAAACACCACGCGATTTTCTTTGAGACGTTTGTGACGCGACATTAGCAAGCTGTGATGACTGCGTCATGAAGTAACACCCTATCTATTATGTAAAAGGTTCTGATCGTAACTTCAATGCCAAATCTATCAACATCAGTGGGGAAAAACGTGATGTGCACCAACTCTGGTATCTATAGCAATTAAACCTACGCTAGTTATTAAATCCACCAAGTACTACCATTGAAAGGCATTCTTACCAAAACACTATTAGGTCACGATAGCACACTTACATTCGGTTTTATCATTCTGGAAAAATAGAATTATTAGTTATTAATGATATCGAGTCCAAAAAATTTGGTGCCCATTACTGGAGTCGAACCAGTCGCCTCCTCATTACTAGTGAGGCGCTCTACCGCTGAGCCAAACGGGCATTGGAGACATGTGATTACTGACTATTGAGTGGATCACGTGTCCATTCGTTTGTTACATGTAACTATAATCTTGGCAGAAGATGACCATAGAAATCTGGCATTCTATAGTGCATTAGAGCTCGAAGTGAACGCAATCACATGGGAAATTAATTGTTACCACCTTACAGAAAAAAGTCTTGTTGGAAAATCATTGGATTTAATCTACAAAATTTACGTAGTCAATTGGTCATGTGGCTCCCCACGTGTCGGCATCTACCTACTGATGAATAATGAAATAGTAATCTACCTTGGTTTTGGTGGTCTTGCTCTACCTTTGTGTTTCTTCATGCTTCTCATGATGAGATGCGTGGTAGGCAACATACATCTGGATCCCTCTGCCTCTGGTATATCCGATCTTGCTACCGCACCCTCCTCGGGTTCAGCGAGATGGCACCCCGCACGCAGACGTCGAGCCTTGAGCTAGTGGCCAGGTGTGTCCTTTTGGGGGGTGAAGTGCAAGACAGTGAAGGACTTGTGGAACAATTGCCACTCAGTACTCGTGTCAACCATCTCCCAAATCTTTTCTCCTTCTTTTTCTTCTTTTTTTCTGGTGTTTCAGTGTCTTCTCTTTACCGTTTCCTTTCCTTATACAATCCTTGAATCTTGTGTGGATTATCCACGATCCAACAGTGGTTCAGGTCTTGGTCTCACAAGGCCTAACCGTAAAATCCAAGAGTCCCCTTGCGCGAATACGACACTGGTAGTAGTCTTACATGTTGTGATGCCCGATAACGGGCGGCAAGCGGAATAATAGTGTGTCTCGTTTCACGTTACTGACACGAGGCTTGCTGAGCTTGCGCAGGACGCTGTCACTACTCCGTCACACTCTTCGACGTTCGAAGAGAAGATCGGACACCACGACTTCTCGGCATCGCAACGCCACCACTGCCGGCTTCTACAAGAGTAGAGCAAGACGCACGAGCGAGGGAGCGCAAGAAGGCGGTTAAAGAGAGGACTTAGTACGAAGACCTTAGGCCCGGCGCATGAGGCGACGGACACGATCGCGGATCGTCTCGCCTGAGTGTCCCTCAACATCCGACGGTAGGTCATCGCCAGAGTGCCCTGTATGGGCGAGTACAGATGATCCAGCAGGCGGCACCAATAAGTCTGATTCCGTCTCTTCGCTAGACACAGCTCTGATATGTTCGTCCATGGTTTCAAGCTGGGCAGAGTGACGGCCACAGGCACTGTGAGATGGATGGCTGGCAGTCTTACAACACTGATGTGTCTCATTCGAATACTCTGAATCTCGAATTAGCCTTCTCGTACCTCAAAGCTCCAGGTTAACCCATCACGTTCTGGTAAGACTTACCTAAACGTCGGACTGGCCTGCTCTGTTCAGCCGTATCTGCCACTCCGTCATCTGAAGCTTCAGCTATTTCATAGGCAACGTTTCTATCGTTGCGCTCCTCATCAGATGTGCAAGACTCTATGGAGATTTCGCTTCGTGTTAGAAACGTACTCGCAAAGGGGGATGCTGAAGGAGCAGGGCCATCAAAGAAAGCTGGAAAGGCACTAAAGTGCTTACCGGCTGCAGCCAGCTCTGCTTCAGCTATCTCCTCAGCCTCACGCTCAATCCGAGACTGGACTCTTTCCTAAGAGTCGTCATGGTTGATGAAGACCGGAAATGCTCGTTCGCTAGCGTGCAGTGGGTCCCTGGGTGTGCGTGGCTCATCATCGGTGGGTGTGCGTGGCTCGCGATAGTTCGGCTGCTTCCACCAGCCTGCCAGGTCAGACAAGTCTACTCCCGGGTAAGAGGCGGGCTTTGCAGCACTCTCTGCCCCATTTTCTGATCCCACCTTGGTTTGAGACTTAGACTCGTGCACCTTGGATGAACCACAACGTTCCGCGCCATGGTCGTCGGCAGCCCAATGGTGGTAACTTCCGGTGACCTGTGTGGCCTTTCCTACATACAAGGGGGAGGAAGAGGAGGTGTCATGCAAGGGGTTTTCGAAATGGTCTGGTTGTTGGCCCTCTTCCCCTGCATGATCCTTATCGTATTTAGGTCGGTGGTTATCGCTGTGTATATTGCTTCGGAGCATTCCAAGGAGTTCTGAAGACTCGTTTCGAGCTCTTGGCGATTGATAGCGACCATGTGCAGTATCATTAGCACGTTGACGGCTACTCGTATTTGATGAAGCTCTTGATGAAGACTCAGAGGAGAGTTGTGACATGGGAGCCTGCAGCTGTGCTCCCGGACGCCCTTTGTGTGCTTCACCCGACAGTGTACATTGCACGCCCTTCGAGCGTCTACTTTGAGACCCCCCGTGGGTTGCTACCAATGGTGTGAATGGTGAGGGAGCAAGACGTTCACGTGGGTTTAGCCCAATCTGGCTGTTTTCCGGGCTGGGCAAGCGACCGCGATGATCGGTCTTGGGCACAGCTAACATGGTGACACCGTTGTTACGGTGTGCTTTCGGTGTCGTCTCAGAATATTCTTCCCATTCGCTTCTTCGAGATAAATGGGCTCGGTTGGAGCTTCTGCCTTTGCTGTGCTGGCCAGGCGATCGAGAATTGCGATGGCCGGAACGGCTCGCTTTGGAGCATCTGGTGGGAGAAGATGATCGTGAGATGGACTCTTCTGCGGACGATAAGGATTGAGCTGATGAGGTATAACTGGTCCTTGATTCAGTGACGCTGGGTAGACAGCTGGAGATAAGATTGGGACGTCGCGACTTTCTTGTCCATCGTGAGCGTATTCCGTGACGAGTTTTCCCGCGGACGTAGTCCCCTGAGGCTCTCAGTTGGCCCTCATCAGTACTTGGAGCGGATTCAAAACGGTCTTCGGCGTACTACAGTCTTATAGTTAGCTTTGATACCATCTCCTCGAGGCGCCGAGACTTGCCTTTACAGTTGAAGCATCGGAATCACTAGCAGCTGACTCTGGGACACAGCGCATAGCACGTGCTACACACTTGTGGCAGTAATCTGGCTCAGGGACCTGTCCCCTTTTCAAGGGGTGAGCTCTGTGGTAAGCCTTAGATCGCTTTGTTCCACATAGGAGACAATGATGAACGTGCCGAGTTCGCTTTCTGATAAGCTCTCTTCTCTCTTTGTACTCGTCCTCGACTTTGTTCTTGCCATTTGTCTTATCAACTCGACTCTTGCCTGTTGTGGCCGCCTCTGGGAAATCAGCAGGCTGTCCCTTCGCCTGGTCGCTGCCCAAATGCAAAACATTTCTGGGCTGACCGAGCTTTCCGCTGTTCATGGGGATAGGAACATGAGAGATTGGTGGGGGAGGAGGCGGAGGAGGTACCATGGTCGCGGCAGCACGAGTCTGCATTTGAGAGTGGGGTGCAGCGGTCGAGTAAGGGGGTATATGCTGTGAGTATGGCATGCTGGGCATTGGGGTTGCCTGAGGAAATGAAGGCTCAAGGGGATTTGTGTATTGACCTGGCAGCTGTTGTTGAGCCCATCCTCGAGCATCATTGGGCATCAAAGAGGCCGGGTATCCTGAAATCGGAGCGGCCGGATGGGAAGCGAGACCGGGATGATTTGCCATACGCGAAGCGTCACCCATTCCGTTCATCAGAGGGTGATGGTTGTAGACGGCGGGGAGCGGATGAGGGGGGTAAGGGACGTAATAAGATCCAGGAGGTGGGTATGGAAAATGCCCGTAGGCGTTGCGGGGGTGAACAGACTCCAAGTGACGGCCATTCTCAGCATCACTCTTTTGTCCCCTATGGGTGGCCGAAGGAGGCACAGATGAAGAACGACTGCTGCAGGTGCGTTGGGTGCTCGATGCTTTTCTGACAGTAGCAGGCCATTGGGAGTCTTGTTCATCTTGATGGTCTTCAATTTCGTAAACTCGCCGAGAAGGCGGCTCCTTCAAGATCCCTCTTCCCTGGCGAGGAGTGTGCGGGGCAGTGATGATACCCGAGCTCTGCGATCCTATGCTCATGCGGCGGCTTTGTAGTGGTATTTGCCGTCGGGACTGCTGTTCAAAGTCGGCTCGAGAAGGGATCCCAAAGCTCTGACCGAGCATATCAAAGCCGAGATCCTGGAGCAGATCTGGCTTCTTCCGGCCCAAGGCAGGTCTTCCATTCTTGGTTTGAGTAAGGTATATCTTCCCACTGCCAGGAAGATAGAGTTCATCATCATGATCCTGGCTTAGGCGAGTGTTGGAGACAGACCTGATACGAAACAGCATTATGTTAGTGGATATGCCCCTGAGTTTGATCTGAAAATATTAAAGGAGGGTTACTGCGTGAATCGAAAGATGTAGAGCCCGAAGCCCATCTTAAACAAGCTAGCTAAGGCAGACTTTGAGGCAAAGCATTTAGCTGGAGCGACTATGCAAATGTCCTGCCTTGAAGAAAGGTTAAGAGTATGAGGTGTTAACGAAGGTAGACTGCTGAGCAACCGAGCTTGTTGTCGGTTTTTAGCCCCTTTATAACCTCACAGAGGATACATCTGATCAAGAAGGCATAGATGTAATGTCGGTGTAGGGCTAGGGTATAATTCATCAGTGAATGAGATCATCTTACCTGCTACGATCACGGCCCTTGCCAAAAAAGCCCATTTCCAAAGGGGGAGGCGCCGTCCAGCGACACCGTGTAGCCAGCACGTGAAATCGGACGCGTTGGACGACAGGTATGCAAGGCGAGGTAGGCAAGAAGGGTTGCCTAGCTTAGGTGAGAATGAGGCGTTTTCTTGACAAGAAGTTAAAGGGAGAAGGAGGAGGGGGAGGCGATGGCGAAGGTGCAGAAGGAGTGAAGACAGGGAAGTGACTTGTCGGTGTAGATGAGGTGCGGAATGGCAAACTACTATGGAGAGCCAGCCTCCTCAAAGAGAGTGGCACCAAGCAGTACCTTTAGCAGGTAGGCAGGTAGGCAGGTAGGAGAGGGTTGTTTGGTGGGTGATGAAATCAGGAACAATGGTAGGCACAGTAAATTGTGGGAGAGGTCGGGTGACTGGAGGTGGCGCAAGCCCCTGAGAAAAATGCTGTCGAGGCCCTCGA